AACAACATTAACAAGAAGGGAAGGGTCATTAAAAAGTAACATTATGAAAGTCCCAGTCATGGAAAAGTCATGGAACCTGTCACTGAGGTCGGGGTGGGAAGCCTGATAAGCATGAAGTGGGACGTTTTGGACAATGAGTGCGAGCAAATAATTCTTTGCTTTTCTAAATTTACTGACTTCATATCTTATAAATTGCCTAATAGACTACATTGTGCCTGCTTTTTCTGTGTGGTTACATGGTGGTATGCTCATTGTTTGCCTTGAACAGACCAACTTACCATAATGGCCCTAAAGACATGCCTCAGAGTTCAGACAGAGGCCAGACCCTTCACTTAATGTCACTGCATTTTTTATACAGGAAGGGAAGATATTGTGATAGGAACTTCAGATGATTCTGTTTACATTAACAGATTGGAGAGCTGAAGCAGTTCACCACTTCAGACAGACGCAAAGGGCAAAGGCTGGAAGTGAAGCTCTTTGATGACTCTGTCTCTTCCTTCCCTCTTGTCTGGTGCGTCATGCTCCTTTATTGATTTGGAAAATGAATAAAGATGAATTACTTTTGTGCCATATTCCATCTTATAGGCCCCTCGGATCTCTGTTACGTATCTTTAGGTTACCACAAATTTACTTTGGTGACATGAAGCTTTAGATTAACCTGCTGAACTCCATGTGTGTTTGATTTTCTCCCTGACCTCTGTTTCACTCACAGCTGGGACAGAGAAGCCATTCAGCTCGTGCAAACTTTGATACCCAAGGAGACGGGTAGGTTAACAACTGCTGCTCATTCTCAGCCACAAAATGAATCTTTATTTAACTGTTATTCCTGCCTGTCGTGTCCCATTAACGTACTGTACTGAAGAGAAACATGCAAGTGGATATCTGAGATGTGACTGCGTGTTTATGTTTAAGATAACTTACTGTTGTTTTAACTCTTACTCTTCATTCAAAGTGCTCTTCATAGCTGACGCAAAGATTAGCTTTGACAGCTTTCGCAACGGCATGACAGCAACCGTTAACTCGAAAACCATTATCACTGTCAATCCCGGTAAGATGTCACAACAACATTCACAAAAATAACTATGTATTGTGCAGTAAGTCAAAACATGGTTGAAACCAAGCAGCCATGGTTTACAGTGCAAGTAGAATATTGTTAGTTTGTTGCTGTCTAAGTCAATCATAATGTGCTCTCAGACACCAGAGAGGCCAGTCTGCTCTACAGCTACGCTAAAGAGGCATCTGAGTCTGGTGTTCTGGATCAAGATGAGAAGCCAGAAGACATCCCTGGTAGGTTATAATAAAGAATTCCCCTCAGTCTGATACTGTTATTATTACAATGAGGGGATGTCTGGCTGTGTTTTGATATAAAATGTTCTTTGTTTCTTCAGGGCTCCTGCAGACCCTTAAAAAGTCTTAGAAGACAATGAATTTATCTAAAAATAAGGCCTTAATTGGTATTAAAATGTGTTAAATCAATCTAGGCTTCCTATATAGAATTAAAGGCTGTCTGTCTTCTTCCAGCCGTAAAACTATTGTGCAGTCAACCTTCATGTCTGTTCTGGACTATGGTGACATTCTATATTGTCATGCTGCTCCATCAACACTTCAGCAGTTAAACCCTGTGTATCACAGTGCATTACGGTTTATCACAA